CACTTTGGGAAGCTGAGGCGGGTGGATCACCTGAGGTCAGAAGTTCGAGACCAGCCTGGCCAACATGGTGAAACCCCATCTCTACCAAAAATACAAAAATTAGCTGGGCATGGTGGCAGAGGCCTTAGTCCCAACTACTCAGGAAGCTGAGGCAGGAGAATTGCTTGAACACAGGAGATGGGGGTTGCAGTGAGCCCAGATCGTGCCACTGCACTCCATATACATATATATATATATATATAATATACATATATATCTATATATATGGATATATATACACACACAGACACACATAGGTATATATGTATGTGTGTGTGTGTGTGTGTGTGTGTGTGTGTGTATATATATATATATATGATTCCACTTACCTAGAATAGGCAAAGTATCTAGAGTAGGCAAATTCATAGAGACAAAAAGTAGAACAGAAGTTTCCAGGGGCTGGGGGCAAGGGAGAATGGGAGTTATTGTTTAATGTGTACAGAGTTTCTGTTTAGGAAGATGAAAAAGTTCTGGAAATAGACAATGGTGACAGTTGAACACTGTGAATGTAAACTTACTGCTACTGAATTATACATTTTAAAATGAATAAAATGGTAAATTTTATGTTATTTATATTTTACCATAGTAAACAAAAAGTTAGTAAGGATAATTAAACTGGGCAAAAAAGAGTCAATTTTGAAAGCATTTCCAATCTACCTCCACTATTTCATTATGATTCTTTCCATTTTACAGATGAGGAAACTGAGGTTCAAACACCAAATGAGGGGTAAAGCATGGACCAGCACTCCAGCCAGTGGACTCCACAGCGAGCCAACTGCAGCCTGGCTCACCCCACAGCCCAGCACTCAGCGCTTCTGAGCGCAAGCCGGCCTTCCCTCAGGACAGCCTCCCAATTCTACTCTCTGCCCTTGCAGCTTTCCTTTCCCTCCACCAACTTTCATCTGAGCAATGGAATAATCACCACAGGGTAAAAGCATGATTCACAAGAGTAAGGGAAAGTCTAGGAGCACCTAAGAATGTAGGCGTTTCACAGGACCACCATGCACACAGCATCTTGCATTCAGAGCGCTCATTACCAAAGCAGAGCTTACTAGGATGCTTCCAACTGCAGGAAATCAGAAAACTCAAAGTCGAACTGGTATAAACCATGAGAAAATTTATTATCACACATAACTATGAGATCACAGGCAGAGAGAGATCCAGACCTAGATCCTATGACCAGCAGGTGAGTACCAGAACCAAAAATGCAGGTTCCTCCTATCTGTCTGCTCTGACAACTTCAGCGTCAGAATCATCTCAAGACTGATACCCTCATGGTCACAGGATGGCTGCCAGTGGAAATACAGTCACAGCTATGCTTCATTATTTGCACTCTCCTTCTGGATGTGAAGGAAAATGCTTCCCCAACCCCCCTTGAAAAATAAGTATTTCCTTATTTCCTACTCAGATCATGTGGATACCTCTAGACCATAAACAGTCACCATGGGATAACCATGCTCTGACATGCTTAGATAAAGAATAGATTCTTAGCTATCTAAGGGTGAGGGGGAAGTAACTGAAGAAAATCTGCATCTCGTTACTAGGAAAAACAAAGGAAATGGATGCTGACAGGCAGCCAGCACTGTCCACTATACCTCTGTTTCTCAAACTTTAATATGCACACGAACTCCCAGAGAATCTCACTAAACACAGATTTGGATTTGGTAGACCTGAGATAGATAGGGCCCAAGATTCTACATCTCCAATAAGCTTCCAGATAATGATCATGTTCCTGGTCCCTCTCTGCACACAGGAGCTATTCGACAATGGTTTGCGTGTCCCTCACCTAAAGAGTGTACCTCCCCTAGTGACCAGGGGGTCTGGCCATCTCCTGAGAGCATCACATCATGTACTTTTGTCAGGTGGTTACCAGCTGCACTCTGAACATTAGAGACCAGCATACTCCTCTCAGTTGCAATGGCATGGATGTTGAATAGTGCAGATGACAAATTACCCTGAGGCATCCAGAAAACTAAGAACTAAGAAGCTTTTTAAACAAAACATTTGGCAAAATAATCAATGGTGATAAATAATATACTCTAGCTCTAATGACAAGCCATTATGAATCTCTTGCATTTTATCACCCCATCCATATATTTTTTTTAATATATATACATATATATTTTTTAATATATATGTTTTATTGTACTTTAGGTTCTGGGGTACATGTGCAGATCACACAGGATTGTTGCATAGGTACATACATGGCAATGTGGTTTGCTGCCTCCATCCCCCCATCACCTGCATCTGGCATGCCTCCCCATGTCATCCCTCCCCAACCTCCCAACCCCTCCATCCCTCACCTATCCCCCCCCAACAGACTCCAGTGTCTGATGCTCCCCTTCCTGTGTCCATGTGTTCTCACTGTTCAACACCCACCTATGAGTGAGAACATGCAGTGTTTGATTTTCTATTCTTGTGTCAGTTTGCTGAGAATGATGTTTTCACCCCATCCATATTAAGAGTTTCTACCTCTAGAATAAGGAAGATACTCTTTTTTAGAGACTAACCTACAGCAGCACTACCCAATGGGTCACCATGCCAAGTACAGGGGAGAAGGTGACCAGTCTTCGAGAATAAAGTGTAGACTCTACAGTCTGGCATGAATGAAGCCATGAGTTGGTATGGCTCATACTGAATAAGATCTAAGGGCAGAAGGTATCAAGTGAATACACAGGAAATAAGCAGCAGCATCTCCTAGATTTTCCGCAGGATCTTAATACCCCTGACCCCTCCAAGAGTTGTCATTCCTCCTCTGCCTCTTCTGTCCTCTCTTCAGTAATTCTATCCTCTCCTGACAATTTCCTTGGTTTCAGAATAACAAGGTTTTCCCTATCACTGAACAGATTTCCCAGAGAAAATGTAATGCGGCAGGGAATGGATGGGATCTGAAATTCCAGGGCCCAGGTCTCAACCTCAGCTCTGTCACTTTATCAACCCACTATGTGAGTAAACAAGCATTTCCTGAGTCTTGGTTTGCTCATCTAAAAAAAAAAAAGAGAGAGAGAGAGAGAATGAGGATAATCTATACCATGAAACATATACATAAATGTTTGTCCCTATCACTCAAAGTTCTCTGTATGGCAGAAGAGTAATCTCAGTTTTTCTCATATTGCAGAGACCTCTGTAATTCTCACAAATCCTGGACGTTGAGATTGAAAATGACCTGATGCATGACTCTTTCGTATACTATAAATGTCCAACAGAGTCCTCACAGTAATTCTAGAGGTGCATGGCCTGAAGCCAGGTCCCCAGAGATTCTGGGAAGGCTGGGCTGAGTCTTCACTAGCCTGCAATTTGGAATTTCCTGTTCCTTAGCAGTTTATGGCACTACTATGAGTAGTTCAGAAAGCAAGGGATCTTCTTTCCAAGCAGAGAGAAGACCACAAAGTAGGAATGTGAATGCAAAACTATCATTATTTCTAATGAAATATAACTGGATAGTTCTCTAAAGTCTCTTTAACTCTAGATAATTTTGGGATTGTGTGATCCTGGGCCCTTCCTAGAGACACTTTAGCCCAGATTCCACTAACAAAGTTTCTATTATGACCCCCACTTACTCCTGCCAAGTATCAAGCCCTGTCCTCAACTGGCTCTCCAAGTTTATATAATAGCTAAAGGCCATTTGCTTAATTGTGGAGCAATGATTTAAAACAGGACCAAAAGTTAAAAGCAGAGAAATGGCAGTGAGCTCCAGACAATCCCTAACTCTCTCCCTCAGAACATACTTATCTGCACTCAGTCAGGCTGAATCTGGGCAGTGAGAGAAGGAAACCTTAAACTTTACAAATTGTGTACAGGAGAGAGCATAGAAGACCATGCTAGAAAGTAGCAGCACATTCTCTCATGTCAGGATGAGGCCCATGTGAATTACGAGTCTTTTTACACTTTTCTCTTTAACAGCCTATCAGTGCCCACAGTGATTTTTCATGCACTGGTACCTTCTTCAGAGCCTTCCTGATTAAACTTGGTTTATTTTTCATTGGATATGGCCGTGACATAGGGTTCTCAGATGTAGAGACTTCATTTCCCCGATTCTATCTCTATGCCTCAGAAACTAAGTACTGAAGAAACTCCTGGTGTTTATAGTTAAATAGGACTAGGCACAGTGGCTCGTGCCTCTACTTCCAGCACTTTGACAGGCCAAGCTGGGAGGATTGCTTGAGCCCAGGAGTTCCGGACTAGCTTGGGCAACATGGTGAGACCTCATCTCTACAAAAAATTTAAAAATTAGCTTGTCATGGTGGCACATGCCTGTAGTCCCAGCCACTAGGAAGGATTGCTTGAGCCTGGGAGGTCAAGGCTGCAGTGAGTGATCATGCAGTATGGCCAACAGGGCAACAGCCAGTCTCAAAAAAATGAAAGAAAAGAATATGTGTGTGTGTGTGTGTGTGTGTGTGTGTGTGTGTGTGTGTGTGTGTACGCGCGCACGTGTGTATATATGTATATACATAGGTATATACATACATATGTGTATATATATGTATACATATGTGTACATATGAGAGTTAACTATATATAATACATATACTATATATATTACCTATATAATTATATATAGGTAAATATATACTAATTTAAAATATACAGTTAAATATGTTAATATATATGTTAGTTATATATATTTATATATAATGAATTAACTGCTAGGATGATAAAAATATTCTCAAACAGCACTGTTGTAATGATTATGCAACTGTATAAATACATAAAAGCCTTATACACTTGCAGCAGGTGAATTTTATACTATTTAAATTGTACTTCAAACAAAGCTGTGTGGGTTTGTTTTTGTTTTTTGAGGTAGGCTCTCACTGTTGTCACCCAGACTGGAGTGCAGTGGTGTAATCACAGCTCACTGCACCTAACCTCCTGGGCTCAAGTGATCTGCCCACCTCAGCCTCCCAGTTATCAAGGACTACAAGTGTGTGCCACCATGCCCGGCTGAACTAGAATATTTTTTTTTTTTGTAGAGATGAGGTTTTGCTATGCTGCCCAGGCTGGGGTTTCACACTTCTGGCCTCAAGTGACCCTCCCACCTCAGCCTCCCAAAGTGCTGGGATTACAGGTTTTTCACAGTCATCTTATGTCTAAACATTATAAAGTTGTAATCATACCACATTTACAATTTCACATCCTGCTTTTCTTAATAATGAAATGTCATGACATTAAAATATTACAAAGCTTTAATAAATATGATAAATATTATATAATTTCACTAAACTTTAGGGTATCATCAGGCTTTTTAAGTGATCCTTTTATTGTTTATCTACATAGTTTCAAACTTTCTGCTAGTAAAAATAATGCTGGCAAAACCTATTCACACCCAGTTTTCTTCACACATTCTTAAGTTTGATTCATAATTAAAATTATGAATTACAATTATAAATCATTTCAAATTTGATGCATACTGACGAATTCTTTTACTAACAGATTTTATCCATTTATCTTTCCTTTTAATAATTAGCTTTTTGCTATTCTTGCCTGTTTACTCCTCTCAAGAAATTTCATAATAATTCTGTCCATTTTACCATAAGAATTCTACCTGGAATTCTGATTAATAGCATTGAAGCTATATATTAATATGGAAAGTTGAAGAAATTCTTAAGAAAAAAATTAATGTTTCAGCTAAAAAATTTAACCCAATAATCTGGAAACTTCATTTATCTAAAATATAGCATCTCCCCACGTCAAGTGACTTGTTCCTGCACTGCCTCCTAACAGGGAAAAGGAACACTGTACTTACCATCCTGGCCAACATGGGGAAACCCTGTCTCTACTAAAAATACAAAAATTAGCTGGGCATGGTGGTACGTGCCTGTAGTCCCAGCTATTCAGGAGGCTAACGCAGGAAAATCGCTGGAACATAAGAGACAGGTTTTAGTGACGCAAGATCACACCACTGCACTCCAGCCTGGCGACAGAGCAGAGACTCCATCTAAAAAAAAAAAAAAAAAACCCACTGTACTTGCACAGATTATTGAAATAATCCAAGTCTAATTTAATGTCAACTGAAAGGGTACTTATTAGCAACTATCCACATATTATTTTATGGCAATATTTAAAGAAATATACTTCACTAAACCAAACAAAAAGCCATATATACCAAACAAAATGTACTATATCATTATTTATTCATTTGACAAATATTCACGGAATGTCTATTATATGTGATGCATTGTCCCATGAGCATAAGATCAAGTATCCCAAAAAGCATAAATAGCTTTTTGTAGAAAAATACTATATTTCTTAGAACCTCTTATCAAAATTTATCTAAAATATGCAACTGCATATTTTAGCTTTCATCTCATTTGTTCAGCTAATCTCCAGTAATGCTTTATCCTAGAAAGCATGACAGTGCAAAAGAAAATTTCAGTTCTAAAAAGTTCCAAGCCCTATATCCTTGGAGTTCCCATCACCCTCCACATTCCAAACTTATCACCACGACTTCCTTCATAGAAAGCACTCTTTTTTTTTTTTTTTTTGAGACGCAGTCTCGCTCAGTTGCCCAGGCTGGAATGCAGTGGCACGATTTTGGCTCACTGCAACCTCCACCTCCCAGGTTTAAGCAGTTCTCTACCTCAGCCTCCCCAGTAGCTGGGATTATAGGTGCTTGCCACCATGTCTGGCTAATTTTTGTACTTTTAGTAGAGACAGGGTTTCATCATTTTGGCCAGGCTGGTCTTGAACCCCTGACTTCATGATCCACCTGCTTCGGCAGCCCAAAGTACTGGGATTATACACGTAAGCCATAGCGCCAAGCTCACAGAAAGCATTCTAAATGAATGAGGAAATTATCAGAGATGTGAGGTTTTTTGGTTTTGTTTTTTTCCTTTCCTTCTTTTAAAAATCAAAAGAGCTCAAGTTTGGAATGCTCATCTTTTTGTCTGTTCTCACGATCCCAAAATGACCCTTTGCCGATGGTGTAGGGGTGGGGAACAGGCCTCTGAATTTTAAGGAAATGCTAGAACTCTTTTGGTCTCTCATCAAACTCAATAGAGAGTTCTGTAATAAAATTAAGCATCACATTCTACACTTCACAAATGTCCGCTGTCATCATGAATACCAGTCCCAAAGGGAAAGTACCTGACAAACACTGGAAAACCCAGGTCTAAAACAAAGTGGCTTTCATATAGTATATACCTCATGCTCAGGGTTAAAATATTCTATTACTAAGTATAAAGAAACTGAGTTAAACAGACATTTGCAGATGTTTCATGTTTTGTATAGATCTGGCAAATGCCCAAAAGACAAAAAAAAAGTTCTCATTTTCTGATGTGGGTTAGCCAGCATTGAAACAAAAAAAAACAAAACTCTAAACATTGTTAAATTGTTTAAGAAATTACCCTTACACCCACCTCAAAGTTACATTATTGTAATTCTTGTCCATCTTATAAACCAGGTCACCTAGTGTCCTACACATGTATCGCTTTAAAATCTTTAACCACATTTTTTCATCATTATCTTCAGTCATGTAAACACATTCAGTGACCTGAAATGGGCTAAGTGGGAACACAGCTTTCCAGATTTCATGGGGGTAGTCACAAAGCTCCTACCTTCTTGAACCCATTTTTAAAAAGAGAAAACCAGTCTCTAGCCATGTTTACAAAGGTTTCATGACTATTGCAAAAATATCACTACCTGCACTCCTAAAACAAAAGGCTGCTCATTTGATGAATGAATTACTCCATCTCCAGATTCTAATTAAGACTACTATGTATTCCTAAAATATGCTTCACTATGACAAAGTCCATATTGTACTCTAAAGAAAGAACTATTCTGACAAGAACTATTCTGACAGCAATCCAGTGAAACCCAAGGGAACCAATATATTCTAACGGAGGCAATGACCTTAAACTCTGGTATTTTCGACATCATTTCCTCCACACACTCTCCCAATGATGAAATTTGAAAGTGGAGAATGAATAATTGTTTTGTTCTGAAACTTCCCATTAGAATAGCGGAAAGAAGTGTTCAACACAAGCCTGAGGAAATCAGGCAAATTTTAAACTATATTCATATACTTTAGCTTCTAGGACACCTAAAGAATAAATCTAAACTGGATAGAAGACATAAGTCAAGCTGTCAACAGTCCCTTCTGGCTAATTACGGGCTTAGCACCTGTCATTTTTACCTGTCTCTTTATGCATCTGTGCTGTGAGCCCAGCTATGAGAGAACTACCAACCAAGAGAGTGTCCAGCATCTTGGAGCCAGCAGTTGGCAAACTGACCTGGCCAGAGACACTCAGCATCATGTTCTAAGGGTTTGAAAGAGAAAGACACCTCAATCTCATCAATTCTACCTCTGCCCTACACCATCCTTTGGTGATGAAGGATACAACAGGGACAATCCCTAAGGATGTCCTGCCTGGCCATCTACCACCCAATCCACAATAGGTCTTGGCCTGCTTGCCAGCAACTTAAAGTTTAACAGCCAGCAACTTTAAGTTTAACAATACTATCAGTAAGTGTGGAAACACACCAGTTTTGTATTGAAATCAAAGTCAAACTGCTCCTTTGTAATACAAAGGGCAAGGGAAAAACTTATTCAAAATTTACATTACATTTAAACAACTTCAAACCACAACTCCCCCTAATGAACTCCATCAACGCTTCCTCTTACCTTACAACGACATGAGAACTCTTAAGTATCAGCCATTTCATTTTTTCAGTAACAGGCTGAAGTTACAGAGACACAATTGTAGTCAGGGAGACCATTACTGAAAAGCAAAACACTATACTTTAAACACAATCATCATTAAGGAAACTTTTCTCCATTATAAAATATGGATGGCATTCACAGCCAAATGATTTACAAGTATTTTACAGAAGTCTCCATAATCAACTTACTTTACCCTTTAGAGATTATCTCCCTTCCATCTTTTTTTAAATTATTATTATTTTATATATTTTTATTTTACTTTTCTTTAATAGAGATGGGGTTTCACCATGTTGGCCAGGCTGGTCTTGAACTTCTGACCTCAGGTGATCTGCCCACCTTGGCCTCCCAAAGTGCTGGGATTACAGGCGTGAGCCACCGTGCCCGGCCTCCCTTCCATCTTTAATTGAACATTTCAAAAGCTGTATGATAGTTAACATAAAACTATTTGTACTATTGTCTTAAAAAAAAATCACTCTGACAGGCTTGCTAGAGAATGATCAGCTAGGCTCTGATGGTTTAGCTATAAATGACCCTTACACATTAACTATATCTTTTGATGGAATGCCAATCAGCCAATGAACAGGGATCACTTAATATGAGTAGGAAGTTATCACCACTCCAGTGGACTTCCAGGAAGTGCAGATGCCATCCTAACCAGAGGGTCTTATAATGTAAGAGTAACATCCATTTAAAAGAGAGTAGGGCGGCCAGTCGCAATGGTTCACACCTGTAATCCCAGAACTTTGGGAGGCTGAGGCGGGTGGATCGTGCGGTCAGGAGATCGAGACCATCCTGGCTAAAATGGTGAAACCCTGTCTCTGCTAAAAAATTAGCAGGGTGTGATGGTACACGCCTGCAGTACCAGCTATTCGGGAGGCTGAGGCAGGAGAATCACTTGAACCCAAGAGGCGGTGGTTGCAGTGAGCCAAGATAGCGCCACTGCACTCCAGCCTGGGCAACAAGAGCAAAACTCCATCTCAAAAATATGTATACATAATAGAGAATGTTAAACCACATACCCTTAGGATACAAGCTGGTAAATCCAGACGGAAGGAAATTCTTTAAGATAACCATGCAGTTTCTTCAACAGCAGCAACAACAAAATCACAAGAGAAAAGAAAAAGAAGGTATACTTACATATTAAAAGAGACTAAAAGACTTACAAACCTAAAAAAATGTGAAAACCTTATTCAGATCTCAATTTAGAAAAACCACAAAATAGGCCGGGCACGGTGGCTCATGCATATAATCCCAGCACTTTGGGAGGCCGAGGTGGGTAGATCACAAGGTCAAGAGATCGAGATCATCCTGGCCAACGCAGTGAAACCCCATCGCTACTAAAAATATAAAAATTAGCTGGGCGTGGTGACATGCACCCGTAATTCCAGCTACTCAGGAGGCTGAGGCAGGAGAATTGCCTGCACCTGGGAGGCAGAGGTTGCAATGAGCCAAGATTGCGCCACTGAACTCAAGCTAGGGTGACAGTGAGAGACTCCATCTCAAAAAAAAAAAAAAAGAAAGAAAAAGAAAAACCACAAAATAAAACCCATGTTTGAGATAAATAGAAATTTAAACACATATTGTATAGTTGATTATATCAAGAAATTACTATTCATCTTTTTCAGATGTGATGACGCTGAGGTTATGTTCAAAGAGTACTAAAAGAGTCCTTACTTTTTAAGGATATATATTAAAATCTCTGTAATATGACACAGGGAAGAGAGGAGCGAAAAAAGGTTGGACTTCAAAGATTATCTATCAGTCAATAATTACTGAAGCTGGCCAGGCATGGTGGCTCAAGCCTGTAATCCTAGCACATTGGGAGGCGAAGGTGGGTGGACCACCTGAGGTCAAGAGTTTGAGACCAGCCTGGCCAACATGGTGAAACTCTATCTCTACTAAAAGTACAAAAATTAGCCAGGCATGGTGGTGGGCACCTGCAATCCCAGCTACTTGGGAGGCTGAGGCAGAAGAATCGCTTGAACCCAAGAGGTGGAGGTTGCAGTGTGCTAAGAGTGCCATTGCAGTCCAGTCTGGGCAACAGAGCAAAAACTCCATCTCAAATAAATAAAACAAAATAAAATAATAATTGCTGAAGCTGAGTGGAGGCACATGGAGATACACTGTTCTCTCTACTTTTGTATATGTTTGAAATCCTGGGTAATACAAAATTAAAAAGCATAGATTTCATGACATTCTTCCCTCAAGAAGTATGGGATGAGGCGGAGCAATCAGCATTTTTAGCACAAACCCCATGCTATGAGAAGTCTGGAGCCCATGTTTTGACAGCACTGTTCTCCCTGGTTCTTGAATTTTCCCTGTAACATTCCAAATAAGCCAGGCATCTGGTTGAACCCTATGAGATGACCAATACATCTCTACCTCCTGAGAACCCAGTAACATTTGACTGTTCCTGATGTCTTCAGTAAATAACACCTATAATAACTAATGACTAATTACCAGTTCCTCCTTTAAATTTCTTTTTTCTTTTTTGAGAGAGAAAAAGAGAGAAGAGAGGAGACAGAGAGAAAGAGGCTTTCTTTGGTGCCCAGGCTGGAGTGTAGTGGCAAGATTCAACCTCCCAGGCTCAAATGATCTTGCCACCTCAGCCTCCTGAGTAGCTGAGATTTTTCCCAGACCAAACTGAGGGTTGGCTGCTAGTTCTCGTGGCCCAATAACGAGATGTAGATGAACTGGGGACGAAGAAAGTTTTTATTTCTGCAATTGGTTACAGGGAGAAGGCCTGGAAATTATCACCAGACCAACTCAAAATTACAAAGCTTTCTAGAGCTTATATGCTTTCTAAGCTATATGTCTAAGTGTTAAATGCGCATTCATCTAAAGTCATAAGTGATTAACTTCTTTTAATCTATAACTAAGGTATGAGTCCTGGAGACCTTCTTTTGGAACCTCAGTAAATTTACTTAATCTAAATGGATCAGGTGCTGAGGTGATTACCCTTATGTTGTCTCCTGCTAAATCAGAGGTTTGGGGAGTTTCTTCAGACCCACAATAAAACTTGTTTAAAGCTAAAATGGTCCTGTTAAGCATTATTTCATAATTTTGTCATGCTTTAAGGCCCAGGAAAGGCCTAGGCTGAATCTTGGTGGGCTTCTGTTACTGTCCAGCCTTTGACAAGGGTATTGGCCTTTTTAGTTTTTACTATTTAACTTAACCACTCACTCGGTGTTGAAACAGTTGTTATGGAGGCCTGCATTAGTAAGACCTGGCCTGCCACAGGACTATGGGCATGTGCCACCATGCCCAGCTAATTAATTTTTTTTTTTTTTTTTGGAGAGATGAGGTACCACTATGTTGCCCAGGCTCATCTTGAACTCCTGGGCTCAAGCGATCCTCCAGCTTCAGCCTCCCAAAGTGTTCAGATTATAGGCATGAGCCACCATGCCCAGCCAACTTTCTAAAAGACTTTTAAAAATAGTTTTTTATGAGACTTATACACAAAGCTACAATAACAGACAATGTCTCCTTCACTCTATTACAGTTGCATACTCCATGCCCTATAGCTCAGTACAGTGTATATAATGGACAAAAACTGAATAGGAAGATGTGTTCCAAAATTTGTAAATATCACTTTCATATATGCAAGCATAGCCAAGAGTTCAAATAAGAACAATGAAGTTTGTGTTGCACACACATACAGACACACCAAATTTGGGTAAAGAACTGAATCTTACCCAATGCATTCTCCAGGTCAAGAAAAGAAAGCCTAACAGGTGTTGAAGCAGCCAGGGAAGCCATTTTCTGAACAGAGGAGTTTAAGCTGGGACTTGAGAGTAAGACCTGGGACCTCCTACCCCCTTAAAAAAGGAAAGGCTATTCCTGGCAGAAGAGTAACAAAAATCAAGTTCAGAAAGAAGGACTGTGGTATGTTTGGCAATAAGATGATGTAAGCTTAAAGGTAGTAGGGAATAAAACTGTATAGGTCACCTGGGCATGCCAAGAAAAAGCCTTGAGACTTGGAAAAACAATTAGCGAGCTGTGACCTCTTCTTGACACGAAGTGAGGAGACACAGGGCTCTATAGGGCACTTTGGTATGAACCCCAGCTGTCACTAATTGTATGACTTGGTGAGTTCTTAACCTCTTGAGCTTGGTTTTCTCATCGGTAAAACAGATATAAAGATTCTACTTCAGGCTGGGTGTGGTGGCTCATGCCTGTAATCCCAGCACTTTGAGAGGCTGAGGTGGGTGGATCAGAGGTCAAGAGATAGAGACCATCTTGGCCAACATGGTGAAACCCTGTCTCTATTAAAAATACAAAAAAATAGCTGGGTGTGGTGGGAGGTGCCTGTAGTCCCAGCTACTTGGGAGGCTGAGGCAGGAGAATCGCTTGAACACAGGAGGCAGAGGTTGCAGTGAGCCAAGATCTCGCCAATGCACTCCAGCCTGGGCAACAGAGCATGATTACATCTCAAAAACACAAAAACCAAAAAAATCCTACTTTATGGTGTGGCTATAATGGTAAGATTATATAAAATAACATCTATAAGGTATTTGTGCGGAAGTAGGTAATTAATAAAAGGTGGTTATGACTAAGAGAGTTTCCAAAAGAGTGGCCTAAGAGTAAACTATACTAAACAAGGATGCCTAAATATCATTCAAATTTCTCCTCAATGTTTCATGATGTTGGGTCTCTGCCAACAGTATGTAATACACTGTAGAGTCAAGCTAAACCAAAGAAAATTGTCCCTGTCTTACTCAAAGTTTTGTGAATTTATTCAAACAATGTCAAAGACACTAAGCAGAGCTAGCCCTGAACTTTTCAACTCACTAATAAATAAAGGAGAAATAATGCCTCTTGTCCATTTTGTTATTCTTTGGATATTTAACAAATTTGATTAAGACATTCCTTTACTTCCAGAGATTACACTTTGGCAGAAAAGATTAGACATATATACAAAAAACTATAAAACAAAACAGAAATTGATAATTACCGAAAAAGAAGTCAAATGCTTTGGGAGAACAGAAAAAGCTCTGACTTCCTAATTCCATAGCACATAGCAGAGGCTAAATTAATGCTCCAGGAACTTTATGAGAGAAGCGACAATTTTGCCCCAGCTGCCAAGAAAACACAAAAGATGATGATTTTCCAGGCCAAGGGAAGAGCATGAACAGCACAGAGGTAGGAAATCAACATTTTCAGAAAAAGGCAGTGCGTTAGAGAGACACAAGCTAAGGAAATAGTATGTGACAAGGCTATGAAGATGGGTTGGACTAGAACACAAACAGCCTTAAATTCCAGCTGCTTGAGTTTGGACCTACTTGATAGGCAATAAGCAGCTTCTCAATATTTTGAAAATATGTGATTGAAATAGTGCTTTAGAAAAATCTGAAACCAACAGATCAGTCAGGTGTACCTGCACTGTACCCTGCATAGAAAAGAAAATCTTGCTGAATCTACTGCACTGAGAAGGAGAAATAGCCAGCTGTGGCAAAGCTGTAACTACCTACCCAATGTCCATTCTTCCTCCCTTCCTCACTGTAACAAGGCAGATTTTATATGGGACAGCAATGTGCCCAGCTTTAAAAGTAAACAAACAAAAACAAAACGACAACTACATTTACCAATGAGAAGTAAACATATAATCTGTTTAAGTAGTTGGTAGCATTTGTCACTCAGCTGATCCATTGGTAAAGAAGCCCATCAATAAGAAGGGATCTCTCCCGGGAGGAAAAGTTCCAGGCACCAGCACATGTGGCTAGGAATACCAGGTCTTCAAGAACACTTTTGAAGTGTTCTTCAAAAAGAATCACTTGAAAGAGACTGACATCCAGGACACCTGTAACAGAACAATCTGGGCCAACATCCATAATTCATTCAGACATTTCTAGACTCACTATGTTAATGGGCTCAGCTATGCCTGATAAGGTCTTGGTCTTCAAGGTATTTACAATATACTACAGATAAAAAGATAAAACATATTCATACAAAAAACTGTAACAATGCAATGTGAATAAAGTAACAGAGCAAACCAGTGCAATATAGCAGAGGGGATCCCACGATACAATTACAGCTTGGACTGTATTCCTAATCCTGCTGTTAACTCACTCTTCAGCCTAGAATAAACTATTTTACCTCTCGAGACAATTCCTGTCCTGTAAAATAAAGGAGCAGTTTATTTAAATAAAGGGCTAATGCAGGGGATCCACTAAAGTGCTTAGTGCATTAGTTCAGTAGGTTCCAACTTTTTCACATATAAAGCCATTCTTTAAATGTTAATAAATTTTCTTAGATCTTCATATCACCATGATTGTCTTTTTTAGCATATGTTAACAGATAAAGCATGCATTGTATAAATGCTACCACAAATTCAAAAAAGTCTTTAAAAGAATCTATACTTTATCAGCATTTAAGTGAAAAATAGAAATACTCATTTCAAAAAACATTATTTGTTACACTTCAAACTTTTAATATGTGCATGAATTTCTTCCAGCCAGTTGGAATAAATATACAGTCCACAGCGCAATGGCTCTGCATTCTCTCAAGTCTTTCCCAGCCTTAATACTGTCATCTTATGTTCATCTGAAAGATTTTCAGAACCAGGGTGAAAAGGAAATCAGTGAGAAAGAGTGAAAAAAGAAAAAGGATGGATTCAAGAGAAAATTCTAAGGTAAGAACTCAGCAAGAAAGTGGCTATAGGGAGGGAAGGAAAAGAAACAAAAGCAACCATGTGAAGTGCCATTAGCAGCAGTATAAGTCCAAGAGAAAAGAACCAGGATGATAGGAAACGATGATTCACTAAGCATCTACTATGTTCCTGGCATGGTGTTAAATGGTTTTAAAATTAAAACATACACATGATTTTAAAAATCAAAACAGTACAAAAAGCTACACAATAAAAAATTTCCCTCTCATCCTAGATTCTCAAGTGCCTAGACTCCCTCTCCAGAAGTAACAATTACTAAAAATTTCATCTGTACACTTTCAGAAATGTTTGCATTTGCCTTCATACTTAATTACCCCATGAACCTCTGAGACAGGAGGGATTATTTTATAAATTAAGAATCTGAGGCTTAAACATGCTGACAGCGCCAAGGTCAAAGAGCCATGAAGGGACAGAACTGGGACTAGAATATGGACCCAACCATCCATGCACATATTAACTCTACACTCAGGAAGCTACAAAAACTCTGGTAGCTGGGTGTGGTGGCTCATGCCTATAATCCCAGAACTTTGGGAGGCCGAGGTGGGTGAATCGCTCATGTCCAGGAGTTCAGGACTAGGCTGGGCAACATGCGGAAACCCTGTCTTCACAAAAAATACAAAATATTAGCTATGGATAGTGACATGCACCATCCCTGCAGTTGAGGTTGTAGTGAGCCATGACTGCACCCTGTACTCCAGCCTGGGTGACAGAGTGAGACCCTGGTCTCAAAAACAAAACAAAAAACACTCTACAAGAGATGTTCAAAGTGTTTGTGATAATTAAAAAATATAACTCAAATAACCACTAGTCAAGGACTGGTTATATGGATCATAGCATATGTACACTGTGAAATACTATGTGGCCATTAAAACTAAGGTTAAAAAACATAAGATAAACCCAGATATACCATTCTGGAAAACCTCTAAGACAGCTTGTTGAAGTAAAAAAAAAAAAAAACAGCTGCCAGAAATAGAGAGTTAATATTTACCAGACATAGCGTTTCAGTTTGGGAAGATGAAAAAGTTCTGGAAAGGAAGGGTAGTGATGGTTGCACAGCAACATGAATGTACATAACGCCACAGAACTGTACACTTAAAAATGGTTAAAATAGTAAATCTTGTTTTGCATATTTTACCAAGGCTTTTTTGATATTAAAAAAAGCAGTTGCAGAACAGTATGACTATGATTCCATTTTTGTATAGAGAATGTATGTGTAAACATTCTTTGTAAATGTATGTTGTTTGTTATCTTGCTTTACCTTGCCTGCTACTCAGACATCCTGAAAGCCCTGGACTCCTGGTGTGCTGATGCTGAGTGCCCTGCCTCCCACACCAGGCACATGCTGCCAGCAGATGAACTACTGACTTGCACCTTTCTTCCTACCTCTCACGGAATGCACTCTCCAGCCCTTGCTTTATCTGAAGCTGCCCCACCCCGCTGTTAAATGTCACTGCAGATTCATCAAGCTCCAAAACATGCTCCAACATGAAAAAAAGATGCAGGAAAATGTCTCCCTTACTTATCCCTGCAGTAAGATCCATAGTGGAAATGTCTGAGATTATCAAATAAAAGAGATGAGATTATATCAGGAAAAGAGAAAAGAAAACCTCCGTTGCTGAAGAATGCACAGTATATGGCAACAGGCAGTGGAGCTCCTGCTTCTCAAGTGTCTTAATATTAAAGTTTTTTGGAAGACAATGTGGCAACAGTCCACCATATAATGTAGACAATATCCCTGTGGGTGGGAAACCACAGCTTAAAGCGTAGTTATAACCATCAAATTGACAAAATGGTTTGAGATGTTTTTCCTTCAGTTTAAGTGCAAACTTAGGTAAGAATATGACCTATACTGAGGTTTATTTAAACGACTATCTGAAGAGCAAACACATTATTGAAAATAGAGGCTTTCGTAGTAAAGCTCTGCTCTCCCTGTTAGTGATCTGCTATAGCTATGAAGTTTCTCTGACCCAGTGGAGGGGCTCCAAGGCCCCCCTCTCTAAGAGGAAAGGAAAGCCTACCTGCTGTACCCACATTTAGCAAAAGAAAGAACTGCCTAGGAGACAGGTCAAGGGGCTACAGTAAAGGGAAAGGGTGGGAATGATCAAATAAAATCAAGACAGCACAATCCTGATGGACAGTTTTCTCTAAGCCTGCAAGTAACAGAACCACCAGAGCTGAAATTATCTTTTCTACCACCAAATTTTCCTTAGTTTTCTTAAAAATCATGGGTTCAATTTTTTCCCCATACAAACAGGCACAGAGCACTGAAAAGGTATGAAAACACTCAGGCCCATGGCATTTTCTCTTTTTATAATGCCACTGGCCATCTTCTTACCAGGGAAAAAAAATCCTGAAAGGCAGAAAGTTGCTTCTTCCATAATGGTTCCTTAAGTTTTAGTTATTGTGCCCTACTAAAACTCCCCAAAACTAAAAAGCACACACTATCACAAGCATTCAAGAACAATTTTAAGAGAATCTTTGTATTTGTTCCTTTTTAAATATCCCCAATACCTGCATATATCCCTTATCACTTAGGATTATGTCTTTAACAGTTGCTCTTAAAGTATGACCTTGAGCCTCTGAGAGTCTCCAAGACCTTTTAAAGGGGTCAGAGAGATCAAAACTATTTTCATCATACTAAGACATTCCTAAGAAGAAGTCACTGCAGCTTTGTGCACTGTGTTCACACAGGTAGTGCAAAAACAACAGTCAGTACAACTGCTTGTCACTCGCACTAATGAGGGCAGTAGTAGTGGCCCTGAATTCTTTTCCTCCATGAACTCACAAGAAAATAATGCCAATTTCACTTTTAAATGTCCTTGATGAAATGGTACAGTCACTCTGGAAAAATCTATCAGTTTCTTAAAAAGCTAAACATGCAGGCTGGGCGTAGTGGCTCACGCCTGTAATCCCAGCACTTTGGGATGCCAAGGTGGGCGGATCACAAGGTCAAGAGATTGAGACCAGCCTGGCCAACATGGTGAAACCCCATCTCTACCAAAAAATACAAAAATTAACTGGGTGTGGTGGTGCGCGCCTGTAGTCCCAGCTACTCGGGAGGCTGAGGGAGGAAAACTGCTTGATCCCAGGAGGCAGAGGTTGCAGTGAGCCAAGATCGCACCACTGCACTCTAGCCTGGCGCCTAGTGACAGAGTGAGACTCTGTCTCAAAAAAAAAAAAAAAGCTAAACACGCAATTTCTGTACAATCTGGCAATTACACACTCTTGGACATTTATCTCAGAAAAGGAAAACTTATGTTCACATAAAACCTGTGTAGGCCGGGCACAGTGGCTCTAAAATTCCAGTACTTTGGGAAGCTGAGGTAGGCAGATCACTTAAACCCAGGAGTTGAGACTAGCCTGGACAACATGGTGAAACCCTGTCTCTACCAAAAAGATACAGAAATTATCCAAGCATGGTGGCGTGTGCCTGTAGTTCTAGCTACTTGGGGGACAGAGGTCAAAGGATTGCTTCAGCCTGGGAGGTTGAGGC